ATTAGAAATAATAATCTTCAAGGACATGGAAGAACAATGAAATTCATAATATAAATATATTAGAAATAATATTGATATTACTAATGAAAATATTTACATGTTCATCATGAAACAGTATATGGAATGCGTTCCAGCTCTCCCGTTCGTGATGCGTTTCAATTATTCGGACTGCTTTCAATCGCAAATAAAGTTTGTTTGTCCTACTCACGGAATCGAGTGTATCACAGACCGACGGCATTATATTATCGATGTATTCTAAAATTTATCTATATATTTTTTTTTCTCTGAACACTGTGAATGAAGTGAAGAAATAATCGTGGTAGTGAATATCCTTTTATACAAATTGTTGTTTAGCACGTTGGTACCGAAAAGAGTGATTGATAAAAATTATTTAAATGTAAAGATATTGTTAAGATTTTATCATATAAATGATTTATATGGAGCCTTGAAAGAGGAGATTTATATGAAGAATTTAAAAAAGGGGATTTATTCCATATTATCTGCAATTAATGCTTGCTGTTTTGTTAATAGAGCCACAAAAAATCGGAAATCTTGGCGTTAAAAAATGATTTATTCCATAAATAATTAATGTTAATCCGAAATAAATAAGAGCAATTTTAGGAAATTATGTGCAATTAATGCTCGTTATTTTGTTAATGGAGCCACAAAATGATTTGTTCCATAAATAAAATCAGAAATAATGGCGTAAATGATTTATTCCATAAAAAAGTTTTATTCCATAAAAAAATAATGTTAATCAGAAATAATTAAGAGTAATTTTAGAAAATTATGTTAATTTACTATTTTTAGGCTATAATTAATGAATTTGGCGGGAAATAGTTTCTAAAATTGAATTAAGTTAATCCTTATTATATATTAATAGATTTATACTCCCTCCTTTTCAAAATAAGTGTCGTTTTGACTTTTTTGATTCATCCATTTTGTTATGTATCTCGACATATTTTAAAAAGGAGGTAGTAGTTATTAATTACTTTTGTTTAAGGTGGACCAAACACACCTAAACCATCTACATAGCATTCAGGAAAAAGCACAAGAGTCAACTGCTAAATTAAGAAGGAACTCATTCTAATTTAATTTAATGTTACTTTATTTATGTCAAGGGTTTGACCTTTGGTATATAATTTGGTTTGACCCCTGATTTTCTAACAGCAGTTGCAACATAAATTGATTGATTTTTATTTTATTATTGTTAAATTTGCAAAAATATATTACTCTTTGACATGCTTAGGTAATCACAAGAAACAATTTACTTTCTAATATAATAATAATAATAATAATAATAATAATAATAATAATAATAATATTGCAATTGAACTTTTTTCTGGCTCCATCTAAGATAAGGAAGTTTCAATTATTTTTGTTTTACATATGCATATATAGGGGTTGACTTTTAGTATAAGTCCGAAGGATAGTTAAGGCAGCGTGGGCCGGTTAAGGACAAAAGGTGGTGGGCTTATATGGGTTTTGGATTTGAATCAGCTTGTGACCCAATCATGGAGTGGACCTTTCTACAAAAGTCAACCACCCTCCCTAACCCTACCCACCCCCTACCCCCACCGGGGGTGGTTGACACGTGTGAGGAGGCAATTGGTAAAAGGGGGGTGTGTTTGTAAATTGTAATTGAGCATGCATGTCTTGATATTTTTGCCATATGTCATTCTAAATGAATTTTGACTATGGTTGCAGTTTGTTGTTCGGGTTGTCTGCGAATACAGTTCGATTCGTTCTGTACAACACCGCAAGAAAATAATGAATTTTCGAACAAAAAAAATCAACGAAAATTAGGATGAACTAAAACATGAAGTGCTCGGATTGACTTGAATAACGCTCCAAATTACGGTTCTCATAAGACCAAATCTTACAAATTCTAAGTATTGTTTTTTGGGAATTACTTGAGGAAGTTGATCCTGCATTTCCGTGTGATGAATGCCGTATTTATTTATTCATTGATTATTAAATATGAACAACTTAATTAAGATATTGAGCTTTCTAATAACTTAAAAAGCTTTGCACGTTTTAGGCAATAAAAAAAAATGTAAAATACACAAAATTTAAATAATTTAAGCCTCCAAAGTCCAAACTCTCTCCAAGTTGGAACTCCTTTTTTTTTTTACGAGAAAAATATATAAGAAAAAGATAAATAAAAAATAAAGAAAAAGAAAGAGCAAAAGAAAACTACTACAGTTGGGCCTAAGAGGCTTAAGGTAATGCAGAATGTAAGCTTAAGGCCCATGCAGTAAGGCCCTATAATAGTATATAACAATCATCAAATGAAACTCAAAATTGATAGGAAAATAAAATCTGGGCCTTCATTTAACTTGGGCCCTTTTGTAGCATAATCTAATACAATTATATTAGCTATTCAATAATTATGGCGAATTTGCACACATACTACTCGATTTGCAAGAAATTGCAACTTTACAAATGATGGTATTTTAATTACTTATCTACTAATTCATGGTGAATTAATTACGTACATGTAGCATACCGTTTCCAAAATAAATAAACTCTCTCCCCTTAATTTAAGAATTGTATAACGGTTACAAAAATAAACTTAAACCCCTCCCCGTTATTTAAGCATCATATGCGTTTTGAAGAGTGAGAAAATAATAAAAAAATGTATTGTAATATATGGTAGGAATATTATATCTTAAAAACTTTCTCCACGACGATTTTTTTATTATCTTATCTCTCTTCTCTATATTCAATTTGATTTAAATACAAATATCTCTTCATATAAATTTATAAACCACTCTCTTCTCTATATTCAATTCGATTTAAATGTAAGTGTCACTCTATTCAAATTAATAAACCACTTTTTCTGGGTTAGTGTATATATCCTAATAAATCGATCTTGCCGATTCTATCCCGTAATATGTCCGAAAAAAATCAGGTATTATCTTTGTTTTGAAATTGATATATATGTATATAGGTAGTATATTTTCTGGGTTCTTTCTGATATGATTATATATATTTTGGGGTTTATATAAATATACCGAACATATACAGAACATATACTAAAAAATAACACCAATCCAAGCGAACATATATCGAACATATGTATACCGAACATATACCAATTTCTGGGTTTATATATGTATATCGGATATATACCGAATTATACAAAATATATACTGAAAATATATTGTCTATACTGTTTAAAACCGCAACATAAAAACATATGCTGAACTTATACTGTTTATACCCGCAACATATACTGTCGATTGGGCTTACGATAACATATATTGAAAAATATACTAACGCAACATATCTCACAACATAAGAAATCAAACTAAAAAAAATTCTCAAAAAAGCTGAAACATCATCAATCATCAATCATACATATATTGAAGGGGAGATAGGGCGAGAGAGATAGAGAAAATCTACCACCCAAATTATATATATATGATACGTTATATATACATATACATAAAATGATTGAGGCTATATTTAATTTTGAATCAGATCTCATTCTCATCGATGCCCATATACATACATACACATATAAATACAATTGATCCTTCTTGGTTTCATGTCCATTTTCCTCATTCTCATCTTCTCTTAAGTTTATCATGCTCCTGTCATCTCTTTTAGAATCCCTATTCCTCTCCTCCTTTCTTGTACTCGATTTTTCACGGCTTTCATCATCATTTTCGGTCTGCCTTTCCCTTCCCGCTTGACTTCCGCCATGAACCCTAATATTCAGACTTCTGCAAGTGGATGGAGAAGGAACGAGATGTAATTAATTATGGGAAGGAAGGGGCAAATCTAGGGTTGTTCGTTGGCAATGTCAAAAGGAAAACGAGAGGTTGAGAAGGTTAGTCTTACGGGCTAAAGTGAAGAATAAGAGAAAGGAGGCAGAGGGGTAGAGAGAGAGAGAAGAATAAGAGAGATAAGGAGAGAGAAGCATAATTTGGGGAAGATAATTATTTGTTTCCTTAAAGATATGTAATTAATGATTGAATTCATCATTAACTAATATATATGTTTTCTAGTATATCTACAAATAAAAACATAATTTTAGGTAGAATTGCTAATATTTACTATAGATGTTTAATTGTGTAATATAAAATGAAATATATGGTGTAGTGAGTAATTTTCTCATTATTTTATGAACTCAAATTAAGTGATAGGAATAATGTAAAAGCCCAGCAACCTAATTGACATATAATTATTGAGCAAATATCGATTGAGTGATTATAGATGACATACTTAATTAACCAAGTAGTATACAAAGATGTCATTGAATATTTTTCCCAATAATTAAACTAAATATTCTTATTCGTAACAAATGCTCACATTAGACATTTTAATATATATGGTTGTTTCCATTTTTTATATTTTTATTTTAAAAACAAAATATCATGCTTTTATTTATTTAATCATACAAAGTATGATATTTACACATAAATGTATATATACTCGTTAACAAATTTGAAACATATACTGTTACGTTTAACAATCCCGACGGAATAGTTACATAACGGGATCGTAGCATTTCCCTTCATTAATGATCAGCTTATCCCAAACTAAACAAAACTTAACCATAATTTATTGTCCATGCAAAACACCCATAATAAAATTTAAAAAACAGTTAAAATGAAATAAAACCAAATCGCGCGCTCTAATCCTAAATCCTAATTACATTATTTTCCTTTTGTTCGTTGTTCCCTCCAAAAATCCGGCGCCGTCCTGTTTGAACTCCAACTTTGAGCGGGGACCTCCGCCACGTCAGCAGAAAACAAGTCGGTGACACTTCATTCTTAACTGTCACTGTATTATTAATATTAAATAATATTATTAACAACATTTCACGTGTTTTTGTTCAAAAAAGGAAATAAAAATCCATTAACACCACCAAAAAGAGTTCGAAAGAGAGAGAAAATTCCCTATATATTTATATATAAAAAAGTAAATTTCACAGCTTAATTAAACAGCTCAAAAAAAAAAAAAAAAATTAGAAGAAAAGCAGGAGAAAAATGGAGGCTGATCAAGGCTGCACGACCCCGGAGCACCCGGAGTACCGAATTCCGGCGCCGCTGCTGCCTCCGGCAACGCCGAGGAAGAAGAAGGTGCGGGCGGAGAAGAGGGACCCGCCGGAAAATGACTACCTCAAGTCGCCAGAGGTTGAGGCCTTCCTAGCCGGATTGGAAGCTCACTGGCGACATGTGCGTGGAGCTTGCCGTTGAATTTTTTTTTTATTATTATTTTTTTTTGTTTTATTTGTTTCAGTTATTAGTTAGTGTCTAAATTTATTTGTTTTTTGATTTGGTTTGGTTTGTTAATTTCTAGGAATGAAGGTATTGTAATTTGATTTGGTTGGATTTATTATTCATGAAGAATTTTTTGGTAGCTTTTGTTTTCCCGAGTTAAATTGGTTTTATCTTGCTTGCCTGGTTTATCCCTTTTCGTCGGCAAGCCATTGCTCGATCGGCAATCAAAAATGGTCTCGGTTGAATGTCGATTATCAGGATATCGAAAAACAGCTGTGCGTGCGTATAAAATCAACAGTATATATCCCACGAGCCACACGATCGAGTACTCGGCCGCATAACACTGAGTGTATCAAACATTAATTAAGAAGACGCAACACAAATTTTGTTCTGAGTATTTATTCATTCTTGGCCCTTCGCGCGACAGTCGAAGGAAACTATACATTACTCGGGACTACTGAAACAGAACATTACTACTCGAACTTGCGTAGTACAACACAACATTTTGACTTCTTTTACTTAAAAAACATCAAGAAGTACTCTTTAAACTCCTCGTCGATCGTTTTCTCTCGTTCCCCTGCTCTGCATCTTCACCTAAAAGTACCAAAAATCAGGTTTACACACAAAGATGAGCCCGACCTTTAACCAAAGTTTAAGTTAAGTTTCCAAAATTACCAAACTCAGTTCGGGATGAAACGCGATAACCATTTGCATCTTCATTAACCGGGTGAGTAAGCTGGTTAACATCATAACCGTTTAAATCTCCATCATTTGGATTATCGAACCTTTGAAGCAACTCCTCAATATTATCCGAAGGGATAACCAAGCCATCATTACGATGACGATTATTGTCGAGCTCCTCCTCATTTGGTACGGTCTCCGAAGACTCGACTTGCGGTGGGCTAGCACACGGAGGAGAGGAAGCACTCGTCTCTAGACACCAAAAAACCTTAGACAAAACTCGAAAAAGACATAACCAATACTATAAACTACATTACTTTTTGCATGTTTTTTTATTTCTTTCCTTTCAAAATCTATATATTCACCTCCTTGAAAAAAGCCGCTTTGCGCATTATCCAAGCATAAAGTCGACGGCAGCACTCTAACGAGTCGGATTTCGATCTTCTGTTTCTTGCTCAGGCCGGTGTTGCAGATACAGAGAAGTGAGAAAAGAGAAAAGAAAGAAAAAGTCAGGCCGGTGTTAAACCACGCGCCTCTTTGAAATGCGTAACTGCTAAAAATAATTTGTTCAATAGTTGATAATGTTTATTTTTCTCTTCCTTCTTTTTTTTTTTTTTTTCTTTTTTTACTTTTAATTTAGTGTTTATTAAGACTCGGTCGGAATGTACAGTTTTGATATGGAGCCATAGACACGATTGCAGATCTTGCGGTAGCTTTCACATAGTATACCGAGACGAGCACCAGAGATTAGTCAAATATGTCTACGGGTATATGAGTCAAATATTTAGGATTTCAGAGTGGGGATCTGCGTATATTTAGTATTTACTATGCACCAAAGAAAGAAAAAAAAAAAAA